TTTAAACAGAAGATTGTGTTCAAACATGGTCCATTATTTTTTATTTTGCTCACTTGACATAACTGTGGAAAAAATTTTCCATTCTTTCAAATTGTCATGTAAACATTGGTCTAGATGACTTTGTTTGGTTAAAAATGATTTCTGTCCTGATTTAGCTCAGGGAATTTCCTGGATTTGTGGGTAATAATAGGATGATTTCTGTATTCTCCAGTGAAGTTTGGGGTGGGTGAAAAATGGAGCCAAGCCGTGCTAAATAGACTCTAATTGCAATTTATACAGATGCTGCATATGCACCAGCAAATTTCACAAATGTTTTATTAAATACATTACTGCAGTGAAACATCAATTTGTCCAGAGGAGACTCCAGCATCAGCAAATTTCGCAAATGTTTTATTAAATACATTACTGCAGTGAAGCATCAATTTGTCCAGAGGAGACTCCAGCACCAGCAACTTTCACAAATGTTTTATTAAATACATTACTGCAGTGAAGCATCAATTTGTCCAGAGGAGACTCCAGCACCAGCAAATTTCACAAATGTTTTATTAAATACATTACTGCAGTGAAGCATCAATTTGTCCAGAGGAGACCTCCATTTTGCATAAGTTTTCAAGGGAGAGGTCTCCCAAACCCCTTTGAAGGGAGGTTGCTCCCCCCTCACTCCCACCCCCTTTGCAGTGTGTTGCACTGCCTTGCGGCTTAGCTGTACCTTATCCTTTTATTTTTCTGTAATCCACTCCCATCTCTGAAAACCATTTCATTACTGTGATGCATTTTCATTGGTCAGTGACAATTCACTGCTAGATGCTTGTAATTTTGTTCATGCCGTAGTTTTATATATGTATGTATGTATATTGATACTTGTATTCTGAGTGTAAATTAATTCATCTATCAATAATTGTGGGTAATAGTATTTATCTTTGAAAAAAATTCAAGTTCTCTACTGATTACTTTGAATTATATGTCATAAGCAGAATTAAGTTATAAAAAATCTTGCTTTGTACTTTGAGGCTCTGAGTGCAACAGAAATGTAATGGTCATATCCCACTGTTTGGTAAAACAATAGATGTCAGTGGGTGCTACTGACTACCTGTCTCTTTAGTCTATCAGTTTAAAATTAGGGATGACAAGCAAAGACAGGCCTTGATTAGCTTTGAAAATATATACATCTTTTTTTACTTTGGTAACATCATGAGTGGTAAACAAGAAACCCATGTGAATATTAAAAAAAAAAATCAGCAGTGGTTCTCTGTCCAAAAATGCAAACTTATTTCCATTGCCTCTAGAATATATATATTATTTAACTTCACAAAGCACAGTATTATGCTTGCAAACATTGTCTAAAGGGAGTGTATGGTAAATATAGAATCAACGAGCCTGAAAACAAGGCTATTATGCTTTTTTTTTAATGTTTACAATTATTTTATAAAACCATTGTTTTTGAATGTTTACTTAATACTAGGTGAGGATACCCATTAAGGAACAGGGAAGACAAAGTTCTGTCTCAGGACAGATTTCCATCAATTCAAAAAAATGTAATTGGTAAAATAGAAAATCCCACTTCTTAATTTCAGTACCAAAACTATTTGACAGATGGCTACTACAAACATATGCTTACTTTGAAATATTTACTGACATGCAACTTTAAAGAACTGAAATATCATAGACCAGCATGTATATATTAATGATATAGTTGATCGGCAGTTTTCTGAAGTGAAGTATGCATCACATCATGGCAGATGTGTTTTTGTTGAACATGCAAGATTTTTGTGTTTTATGCACAATTTACATGCCAATTTAGGAGTGATCCATTCAATTTCATTCCTGTACACAGTCACAAAAGTAATCAAACCCTGTAGATTTATACTCACTATATTTTGTCTGTGAGTGACTTAGGCTATAAAAACATTACTTAGATGTAAGTCTTAAAACTAAACAGTCTAAAGTTAACATTAACAAAGTCATCCATCCAGCAAAAAGAGTTTTCAAACTTGATGGACTGGTTGAAATCTGTGAAAATTTGATTCTTTGACATCGGATGTTTATTCATGAATTTATATATAAACTATTACAATTTTTCTCATGGAATTTGAACAAGTATTTGAGTTTTTTGCAGTTTATTTAGAATTACATTGAAAATTTTTTGCAAAAATGAATTTCAGACCAACATGGCATGTTCACAGTTAGCTAATCTTTACCTGTAAGATATCAACTTTCTTCATGGAAATATGAAAGTGACTTGACTTGTAGAATAACAATATAAAATTATTACAAGAATTTGATGATTTTTTTTTTTCATTTGGATTTAGAATAAAGAGTACTTGAAGCATGAGATTTTGAGTCTCAATTCTGTTTATTACATCTCATGAGGCAAAGTATTGTTTCATGATTAACTTAGTTGATGTATATGATCTTTTAACAACACAGTTTTCTGAGCAAAAGGCTACGTATGACGTCTCTGATTGCATTTCAGAGTGTAAAAGCTCATCTCACCTATATCTCCTCCCTGTGTGTTTTTAGTCAATCAAACTTTTCTCTGCTGCCATCCCTGTAAAAGCACAAATTGTATGAAGGATGTTGTTAGATACTTTCCCTCTTTTTATTTTGTAATTAAATCCCTAATGCCTCATTAGATGCTAATTGGATACCCTGCTTTGTAGAAGGTAACAATTGAGCCATTTAACTCATTAAGTACTTGTACCTTTAAATTCAAAGCCAAAAGTATATTTAAAAAAAGTGGAAATGTTCCATTTCAGCATGTGTGTTTTTTTTTTCATCCTCTTTCTTAGGCAAAAATCTTAAAACAAGGTAGCTTATGTACACCATCAGACAATTTCTAGTTATTGTACAAAGTATTATGATGTCAGCCAACTCTGGATGAGGGATGCCAACACACACACAAACACATTTTTGTAATAAGATTAAAGTAACATTCATTTTCACTTGAATAGAATATATAGACATAAGCTCAGCTATGATTTTATCTCTAGATCAAATTAATTAATATTATGTTTTCATCAGTAATTAAGATATTGTTCTTTTTGTGTTTACGTAATAATAAATTATTGTGTAAAAATTACCACACGTATTAATAACATAAAAGTGGAATACAATGTGTCACACTCAGTTAAACAGTACTGTCTAGTCCCTTTTGCTAAGACTAACACATCTTTCTAGACATTTGCTCTGCTGTGAATGTAAGTTTGAGAATTTAGTGCATATTTTACATCACAAACTTAGTGTGACAATAGAATAACTTTTAATTCAAGGAAATCCTATTGGTCAATGGATGTTTTAAACTTCTTTCACATTGGGTGTCATTTAATGATTAAATTAAGATCAAAGTTAGGTTATACAGCTCTTTCATGAAAAAATTGTTTTACAACTTTTTTGTTGGATTGAAAACATACAAAGCAAATATGTGAAAAATAAAACCGTAGCTTTGGCTGTACACAGGTTATAAATCAAAATTAATTTTACCTACTTTAAAATGTTATCTTTATGGTTAAAAGGGGGGAGCCTAGTGACTATACTTAAAATTTTGTATAGGGGGAAAACATATTTAACAGTTCAATTATGTGGAAAAAATTATAGTTATAGAATAAACTACGAGTTAGCCAAGTTGTATAAATACAAACTACATAAAGTTTTTGTGTTTGAAAGTGCACATGAAGTGGATTACTATTAAGTATAGTATGTTGTCACTATATCTAGAAAAATAAAATCCAGACCATTTAAGAATTAAGATTAATTTAATTAGCTCAAGTAACTCAACTTAGAAAAGAAAACCAATTATAAAATATGCTGTAATGACTGTAGTGGGATAGATGAGTATGTGTTTTTAAGTAAACTTGCAAAATTTTTAAGACAGATCAACTAAAACAAATCAGACTTATCTCAGTTATTATTGTACAACAATATTGTCATTGAATACAAATAAAATATTCAAGATACATATTACAGATTGAAAGCCAAAATTCAAGTTTGAAAAATTAAATTAAGTCTTCAACTTCTAATATGTCATCTTTAGAAACACAATATTATGCCACAATTTTTTTTTTTTACTTAATAATTTCATCACTTACGATATTAGTAAAACATGTAGGTTTAATAAATCAATTTAATACAAAGATACAAAACCTTCTAATTTGTGCTTTCGAAAAGTCCACTTTATGAAATTGTTTTGATTATGTTTTTTTTATCTTTTGTGTTTCATCACCTAAGATTGCAATGATGAGCTTTAAGTTTACACAAAGCAAAGAATGGAGTTATTGTGTAAAAGTTCTAAAAATAAAATTATTAAAAGCTATCTCTGAGAAACAACTATACTGTGCAAAAAATTTTGTACATCTTGGTTTTGAATGATCATTTACATATTCCCAACTTTGATGTAAATTTGAGTAACAAATGCTAAGAGCCCCCAAAACCCTTGAATTCTCATTTGAGATTCTTGTATGAAAGTTTTAAAAATCAAAATATAGATACTTATTTTGAGTGATCCATTTAATACATGTTAGTACCAAATTGGAAATAAATCAACTCTGTATCACCTGAGAACAAAAATGTAAACCTTTAATTTTCCTTTATTAGGGCAGTTTTAAAGTTCTTCATTTTGTGGATCAAAAGCCTACATGTAAAATTTCAAGCTGGTTGTTAAAAATTGAGTAAATTTAAAACATGGATATATATATATATATATA